GCGCCGCCGACCCGTCAACTTGAGTGAGGATGTGCTTGGAGCGGCCGCCCGAGGAGGAGGTAGTGATCTCCACATCCGTCCCCTGCTCCAGCTTGGCCATGAGGCGCCGCGGCGTCCTAGTGAACTCGAACTTGAGGTATCCGAAACCAATGGAAGCTGGGCCTGCTGGGGGGGTTCTCTCTGCTTGGTGGGGGATCACGACAGACTTGAAATACCGCTGAAAACTCCCTCTGAGGAGCGGCCTCGCGGGGCTTGCCTTGGCGTCTCAGAGGGTCCCCGTAGCCTCAGAGGCTGCGCCGAGAGAGGCTGGCTTGGCGGCACAGGCCTTCAGAGGGTCGGCCCAGGCACCCTCTGAGCCGCTCGTGGATGGCCTCTCTTGGCACAGAGGGTACCCTCTGAGACGAGCAGATCTGGGCCCCCTTGCCTCAGACCCCCCCCCCCCTCTGATACAACCCCCTAGTCCCGCCGGCGAAGGTACCTAGGTATCCACCTCCGCCGCCCTCACCTCCGCCGCCGTCGCCGCCGCCACCCTCGCCGAGCAGTCCTCGCGGGCATATGAGAGCGGCCCCCAAACGCCTCGCCGCCTTCTACTCAGTGCTAGGCGTCAGCTTCATCGCCCTTCTGCTCCGCACTCTGCTTGCGCAGCCGCTCCTGCCGTTCAGACTCGACGACGCTGAGTGGTCATCGACGTGGCTGCTCACGACAGTGGCCGACTACTACGTCTCCACGCTCTGCCTGTGCGGCGTCATTGTGGCCACCGACGGCTGGCGCGTAGGAGGATTGTGGGCGGCTCTGTGTTGTGTGCTTGGCAGCGCCTTCGCCTGCTTGTGGGTGGTCCGCCGACTGCTGCAGCGTGGCACGCTGCGCCTGGCGGGCAGCGCGGACGGCGCGTTTGCGTACGATTGAGGAGGATCCGCAAGCGGCACATGACATTCTCCGGTCAGCAGTTTTTGTACAAACGAGAGGGGGTGCGACGGCCTGTGCCACGTACTCTCTCTATCTGTCTCTATCTCTCTCTCTGTCTCTCCTGCTGAGTGCTGAAGAGCAGTGCTGTGTAAATTATTCTGATAAAATAGCAATCTCAAACCATAGACGTCGGGGACGAGACGGCCGGCGCCCCAGCCGGAGCCGCGCCCGCCTCTCGCGGGGGGCGACATCCGGGGGTGGAGGAGGAGGCCACGGAGCTGCGCCGGGGGAGCGCTGCCGGCTCGCCGCTCACCCCGCGCTGCACCCACCACCCGCTGGCCTCCTCGCTCGTCGCGGAGAGGGTGCTTGTGGAGGCGGATCGCCGGGCGCCGCCCATTGGAGCGAGCGAGATCTCCAGCCCGCTCACCGCCTCGCGGGCGAGGCCCTGGCTGTGCGCCGGAGAGAGGTGCTGCGCCTCCGCGTCGCCGCCCGTCCCACCGGCCGCCGAGCCGCCGCGAGTCTGCCGCGCAGCCGCTTGCCGCTTCCGCAGCCGCGTGCCGCTGCGGATGCTCGCGAGCGCGCCCC